GTCTTCTGAGAGCTCTTTTCTGCGAGGCATGGTTCACATCAGACAGTGCTTCTTGAAACCAGTAAACCCAAAACAGGTGTGTGTTTTTAAAGGGCAGGACAGCTGTCAGCAACACATCCAATATCATCACACTGATTGGAGTCAAGGTTGGCTCACTCCTGGCTCCAATTAGCTCTTGGAGAAGTCATTAGGCTAGGGGCTCACATACTTTTTCCTCCCTGCACTGTGAATGTTTACATGTTATGTTCAATTAAACCATGGCAACATCTAATGTTTGTGTAGTATTATTTTAAGCAGACTGTGTTTTTCTATTGTTGTGACTTAGATGAAGTTCAGAGCACATTTTATGACCAATTCATGCAAAACTCCACGTAATCCCAAGGGGTTCACATACTTTTTCTTGCAACTGTATATCTTACAATAGATATACACATTTTGTATATACACAATAGATCTTACAATAGTTTTAGTGAAAATATCTATTATATTTTTCTTTTTCATCTCTTCAGGCAACAATCAATATTGTTTTTGACCGAGTTGGAAAAACAGATCCAGTAACAAGAGGAATTGAGATTACTGTGAATTATTTGGGGATACAGTTTGATGTAAGAGCTCTTTTAGATTTAATCCTACCTACTAATCCCCATATTCATTCTTAATTTCTGTTTTATAGAGAGCTTGGTAATGTAATACTAAACTTTTGTTGAAAGTATAGTCTTGGGTAATTTATTTGTCTGTAGCTGCTGCTAAGGTAATATATTGTGAGAAGACAATATTCATCTTTCTGTATAATTCTTAAAAGCCATTTCTATTGGAACTTACATTTTGAAGACAGTTTAAGATTCCAGAGTTGCAAGAGACAGTTCTGAACAGCTCAACCTTAATTCTGCACTGTTTCTGTATGTCATGCTAGCAGTTATTTTTTTCTGAAAGTATTCTTGCTGATAGAGGAAGTTCTTGTTTAACACTCACAATTGGGATGGCAGCTTGGTCACTAAGTGAAGCTGTGATGTATTCGTCTTATTTCCTTTGCTTTACAGACCTATGAAGGTTGGAAATTGAGGACTGGTTACAACAGGGGTGTCAAACTCACGTCATCATGGCAGTGTCACATGACATAGCGGGACTTTTCCCCCCCTTTGCTAAACCGGGCTTGGGCGTGGCCAGCATGTGATGCATCTAGCCCACGGGCTGGGAGTTTGACAGCCCTGGGTTCCAAAGTTACCTTTTCATCACCATGGTTGTTAAACAAGGGCTATTTGTACTCTTCAAAAGGTTCTGTGCACATAAATAGTAACTGAAGTTAAATAGCCTTTTATGTCCTACATGGTCAGTGTACTTATCTGTATCTCTGAGAGATTAATTATTTCTTGTCTTTATTATTACAGGTAAAATTCTGGTCCCAACATATTTCATTTATTCTTGTTGGAATAATTATTGTCACCTCTATCAGGGGCTTATTAATAACACTCACAAAGGTAAGCCTGAGTGCAATCTTACTCTGTGAACTGTGTTGAAGTAAAGAAGAGAGCGTATTAATATATCTGTAAAAGTGTTATGACTGAATTGTAAACTTGAAAAAATATGGAATCACTGCAGGAAGTAGCAACTGAGTTTGTTATTGTTATTCTGAGAAGTTCCTAACTTTTGGTCTACAGCCTTATAGAGATGTACAGCATTAAGACCTGTAGTAACCCAGGTACTTCAGATATGGTGCAGATGCATTTTCTGCATCACTTTACAGTTTTTAAGGCCAGAGGTGGGAATATATATGATTGTTTAATAAGTCACAGTAAAACATTGATATTGATTTTATTAAGAAGTGAAATAAATTTGCTTGACATTAAATTACCATTTTTCATTTAGATAAGTTTTAACAGTACACGGCTGATATAAAGATGCTTTTTATATACATAATCGTTCTGTTGTGTAATGATAATCGTGCTCTTAGTGAAATGCTATTTTTTATGCACACTAGAAAACATCTCAAGGAGTTTGTTATAATTGGCCAATCTTGCCACATCAGCAATTTCTTTAGTTGCACACTGCTCAAGTGCCACTATTTATAGTTGAATTACATGAAATGTTATAATTATTACTTAAAACAGTCCCATTTATCCCTGGGCTATGCCATTTGTGTTGGATTTGCAAAAATATAGATTGCTGTTTCTGTAATCATGACAGTATTTTTCATCTAAATTCTCAGTTCTTTGGGTGTTAACCTAAGTGTTCACTTAAATGCATATCTGAAAGTTATCAGGACTGCTTGCACATAGGACAAATTATTATTATTATTATTGTATAGGTGATTCTGCGTGAATGTGGAATGGAATGTGAAGTATGCTGAAATATGTATAATGGAAAAATAAGGGTTTTACTACACCTTATATTATTTCTAACTAGCAGTTCTAATGATGGTGATCACATTAAGCATGAAGATCTTGCATTACTATGAACGTGACTTCTTTTTAATTTAGCTCTAAAACATTTATTAAATCATGTTTGCCATATTGTTATCATTTCAGCGTATGACCTGACTTTCTGTGTTTATCTTTCTTAGTTTTTCTATGCTATCTCAAGCAGCAAGTCTTCTAATGTTATTGTTCTGTTGCTGGCACAGATTATGGTGAGTATTTTAACCCATTTGAGTATCAACTTTGCTCTCTCAGCTATGTCAGCAGCGGGGAAAATGAAGTCTAATGTTTCTTTTATCTTCTCTGCAGGGAATGTATTTTGTGTCTTCTGTACTTCTGATTCGAATGAGTATGCCTCTAGAGTATCGTACTATCATTACCGAAGTTTTAGGAGAATTACAGTTTAACTTCTACCACCGATGGTTTGATGTTATATTTCTTGTCAGTGCTCTTTCAAGCATCCTGTTTCTCTATCTGGCACATAAGCAGGCTCCTGAGAAACATATGACACTCTGAATTTATTTTGATTTTACAGCCTGAAGTTATTTGCAATTATGAATTTGGCATATCACCATTTTAAGATGGCTCTTCAATGATGGACACTCATTTCTTTGGTTCAAATCAGATGCTTCACTATAGACAAGGAGTGACAAGCTGTCTCACAAGGATAGTCTCCAGCTCCATAAAAAAGAGAAACATAAAAAAATAAAAGGGAATAATTGGAGACCTCTCAAAAGGCTGGATATGACACCATTCTGCAATTTTTATTCAATGGAGTTGGCAAAATGTTTGCTTCATTGTCTTTACCTTGAAGATAATGATTCTGAAGACTAAATAAAACAATATTTGTAATAATTCCCAATAATTTTCTTACAGTTTATAGATTTGTAAAGTTTCTTCTTTGAAGTGGAACAAAATTTGACGAATTATTAATTTCTGACTGAAATGTGGAAAAAAATCACTATCTCCCTGGAACTCAAAAATACAAGCATTGTCTAGCACTGCTAATCACTTCCTCCTTTCATTCCATTAAATCAGCATTCACAATGCTAGGTCCAACATTAAAAGTGGTCATCTCCAAAACTGTTAATGTGGCTCTCAGGAGTCCTCCGAATGTTATTTCTCAGTTATGAATCTTAATGTAATACAATGGAAAACTTAACACATTTTTCGATAGGTTCTTGTCATGCTACTTAGAAACCAAGAACTGTACGACTCAGTAAATCCCAAGTAACTTCAATATTGCTAAAAAACCCTGTGCAAGCATGAAAGTTCAATATATAAAATGAAGAATGTAGGATAAGTATATATCTTGATAATAATTTAATATATGGGGCACCGAAGAGAATCCATCAGCCTTACTTCAGATTATCAGTAGTATCTTTTGGTTTGTTGGTAAGGAAATATTGCCAGGACTTGGTACTGGCTTTAAAATCTAGATCAGTGTTTCTTAAATTGTGATCCTAAGGATTCAGGGTTTCCCCTCAGTTCTTCTTGGGTCCACAAAATCAAAATTACTTCCCAGCCTTTATTGAAAAGTAATACAATATTAAAATTTCACTGAACAATTGTTAGAAGCCGCAGTAGCAGCAAATTGTCAAATTTAATATGGTAAATATTGATATCCAGTTTAGTTATAGTGGTTAAGGCACCAGGCCAGAAATTGAGAGATTATTGACTTCTAGTCTGGTTTTAGGCATGAAAGCAGTGGGGTGTCCTTGGACTAGTAATTCTCTCACAATTTAGAAAGCAAGCAGTGGCAAACTGGTTCCAATATTTCACCAAGTAAATTTAAGGGACTTGTCCTGGCAGTTGTCAGGAGTCAACTGACTGGAAGACACCAGTATACAATAAATATAAAAACATATAAAGAAAAGTGAGGGTTCCCTCATATTTTTTTCAAAATGGGAGAAAGGGTCATGAGGAAAAAGTTTTAAGAAACACCGATCTATATTGGCATTACATAGCTCAAAAAAGCTTTGTGGATTTGGGAACTCAGCAGCATTTTCTATCTGTTAAGCAGATGAGAAAAAGGAATGAGGTATGCTGAAAGAATAACAATGAAATACCAACCAAGACTGTGTACATACTTATGTTATCTTAACCATAGGAAAAATCTTGATTTTTTTAAAAAATATTTACTTTGAAAGAACCTCTTGTCTTCATTATTCTTTCACAAAAAAGATAACTCTGAATGTTACACTCAAATGTTAGCTTGCAAATTCACAACAAAAGTCTATATAGCATTGGTTGGTTCTTGGCTTCTTTTATAGGACTGTTCAGTTCCTACAGCAGGAAATGCATAATAGGGCAACATCACTGGAAGGAAATAATTTCTAATTTTAATGTTTACCTTGAATTTGAGGTGGAGGGTGCTGGGGATGGGGAGGGAAATTGTACTGCTAAAATTTGATCATTTGCTACTAAAATTCAGTGCCCCAGTCTTGTGATACTGAAAGATTGGCATCCCTTGCATTACGTAAGTTAGAGCAGTCTGCTTATGAGTGGAACAAGTGAGTGCAATTGGAATAATGTGCTCTGACATGTTAGCTGGTACGTCAAGCTGTATGCAAAAGACAAACTGACTGTTATTTATTTATTTACCATCTTTATTATTTGGAAGTGGAGAACATACCTAATACAGTACTCCTTTTTCCTTCTATTTTCATTTGCAACATTTTAAATGAGATAAAATGAAACAATTTATTTTTAAACTTGGTGTCCATCAGAAACTAGACATCCTAATAAGTAGCTACCATAGTATTCTTTGGTTTCTTTGCAGAACCTAATGTTCAGCCAAAAGACCTAAAGTTAATTCTGCACAAAATTGGATGTAGTTGACAAAAATATTACAGAATAAATGCAATATATTTTAGTTTTAATTAATACAGTAAGTCTCCTTTCATACAATTGAATTCTCATTGTGATTTCACTTAGCATGACCGTAGTTTCTGATAAAAAACTCGGGTTGCAGAGATTTTAGTCGTGTTCAGATTAACTGGGGAAAAAAACTTGGTTCATACCATCTATTTGTATATCTAAATCACATCTCTGCCCCCATTTTAAATACCCATAGACTTAGGAACGAAGGGCAAGAACTCAGTATCATGTACTGACTTAGTGCTGTACTCTAATACCATTTTTGGCTGAAATTAATCCTGTGATGTTTTTGCATCCAGTGTCATGGACACTGTGCTCTGAGAACAGCTTAGCTATATTATTTTCAGTACATTCATTTGGAAGTAATTCTCAGTGTGACTTGGTTTCAAGTAAGTATTATAGGATTACAGCCAATATTTTTTTTTGGCAGTATTGGCACATTTACTTCAGAATAGCAGCCCCTTTCAGGTACAATATGGAAAAAGACTTGGACTCTGCTATCTTCATAATGCAGTGTCATCTTCAGAGGAGGATGAGCTGACCTAATGAAAGAAAACAATAACTCTTGTTAGAAAGACTGCAAATAGATTTATAGCACCGTTAAGCGGAATCAGTTACAGTATATAATAAACTTTATAGATTTATAGATTGAGCTGTGAGATGAATTGATGGTCTGATTATGAATGCTTAAAATTTTACAATAAAAATCTTTTAAAAACCAAATCATCTAACTGGTTAATTACAAATGTTTAGTCGTTCTGTGATTTAAGCACAGCTTGAGCAAAAGCTCAGCTTAGCTTTCTAAGCCAATTCTTTAGGGTAGATAATTCAATTATTTGCAGTGTATCATATTGGTTTGATAACCAGATGCCACAGATTCTTGTGAGATTTTTCTGAAGTTAGAGGAAACTCACCCTTTCTCGTGGTTCTGCCAGTACATTTTTTGGCTCTGTTGCTTGTATCTCTGCATAAGCAGGAAGCTCACCATGGTCGCCATTTAATGGGTCAGCCATTGAGGTTGTAACAGCCTTATTCTGGGAGCAGAAGTGCTGATAAGCCTTTTCTTCACACACCAATAGTGTCAGGCTGTTACCACTGTCTTGAATTCTTGCTACTACATCTTCATACTCTTCATTCTCTACATTGGTACCATTCACTTCTATCACAATGTCATCATCTTGCAGCCCAGCTATGTTGGCAGGCCCATCCTTCTTTACCTGCAATTAGATTGACTGAAATAACTGTAGTAGAAGCTGCTGTTCTGCTGATTGAGAGCAGCAGGCAGTCCATGGTAAGCAGCATATATACAAATACAAATTTATTTTTTTATTCAAAGTTCTGAATAACTGTAGCCTGGTGCTGCTGTTTTGAATAAAGACATGACTATTTGGGGAGGGGGATGTGCAAGATGGCAGGTATGGTGTTAAAATTGGAGCCCATTTATTTTGTGCAAAAATGGTATGTTGTCAATTGCAATGCTTTGACTTCCATTTGACAGATTTTGAGCCACTGGGCATTCTGGGATGTGACTACATTTCTGCTGCCATAAGAGGTGACAATCCTAGTCGAAGGTGAAACTCAGAAGTGGCTGCATTCTTGATCCAGCCACAGTTTCTGGATTTATCACCTCTGACTGGAGAGGACTATTATCTTAATTAAAGCCTCACAAATCCCACAAGGTGTACTGCTATATTTGGACCAGGCAGGCTGGTCATCTGAGAAGAGGGACAAAAGAACATGTTAATGGCTTCTTTCGGGGTGAGGGCTACAAGTGAGTGCTTAACTCTCACATTTGAATTAAGGTCTCAAATGCCTGCAGAAACTTTAACTATTTTGTCCAAAAATGTTCTCTCCTCAACATGAAAAAGCACCATTATGGAGAGGGGATTGCAATTTCTAAAAAAAAATGAACTACACACAAACTTTACTTCTTGCTCCAGATAAATAGGGACACACCTAACCTGACTGTAGCTATATTTTATGTTTTCTGCTCTTTAGTGAAATACTAATGACAAGATACGTTTATTATCATTATAGGTACATGCAAATCATTTTTTTTTAATGACTGCTTTTAAAGTAACTGTCTCAAAAACAAAACCTGTTTCCATGAATAGGCAAACATTCTGTCTCTGTAAGTAATGGCTCTATATTATTTTCCCCATCATTCATCATAATATATGCCGAGATTATGAAGATTACTTGGGTAAAAATTGAAAACACAAAGACACCTCTTAAGCTACACTGAACATAACTTCAGAATTTATATCAATTCCTATTACTATTTTTCTGCAAATAATTGAGACAGTGAATTTTTTTTATACTGACTATCTCTATTTGTACACTCTTATCAATGTGGGAAATAAAATTGGTAAAAAAATTTATTACTTTGACTTTAGGAAAAAAAACTGTAAATATATTTACCATTTCCTGAAGACTAACACTTTTTTAAAAAACCATTCTTAGTCTGAATCTAATTATCTGATACTATTTTAAAAATTATGTTTATTAACAAGATGACAATTTCTTTAAAGTGCATAAAATGCTAATTCAATCAACTTGAATTAAATCCCATTTTAAGATTGCTTTTGCTAAAAAAAAGTTAACAGAGATGGGATGAAAAACATTTAGATGGAATCAAAATATGAGAATAAAGGTGTATTATGTTGCTCTAAGTATTAAATCCCAAAATGAGCATCAATAAATTAGTCTGTTTGGTTCTGGAACATATTTTACTGTGTCAGTTTCAAATTCCTTTTATTCAGCAGCTATTGTATCTTGGTAAGACACAGAACAAAGATATACTTCTATATATATTCTGCTGAGTACATTCACACTACAGGACAGAAGTGCTTTTTTGCCCGATCAATGGTCACTTGTTTTGTTTGCCAATGAAAAGATTCTAAGATTCTAGAGTGATACCTCTTTGATGAACACTCCAGGTATATTGTTAATGGCATTCAATCGAAAGCCGAATCCAGTGGTACTTTTTATGAGTTTACAGAGTCTGGGCTTCTGATTTTCTTCCTCAGCATGCATGGCTTTCTTTGTAATACTCAGATGTGGCTCCGGTCTTGTATGGTAGTAGAGACAAGGAGATATTTTAGCCTGAATCAAGAACAAAGAAACATGAATTGAAACATAATGAATATGAGCTGGAGCATGATGATACACAATTCTTCATGTTGTGGAACAGCACTGGGGGCGCAGATGCCATTGATGTCTCCTCTCCCCCAGCTCTTTACAGTTTTTCACAATCCAGAAGGAAAGAGGTTTCAATTGCTGGAGGCAGCTAAGTTGTAAGAAAAGATAGTTTGGTGACAGACCCTTCGAGTTCAGCAATGACTCCTTTGTGACTCCTGCTGGCATATTTTGGCAATCAACTGAGGGACTTTGGTGGGTCTGGGGGAGGTGGATAATGGCATAGACAAGTTGAAGCACTTCCCCATTGTTGGAGAGAAGCTAAATAGGAAGGAAAATTACATAATATATAAAATTATATAAAATTATATATCAAAAGAAAACATTTTTTGAAACTTTAAATTATAAAGCTTAAAAATAAATTATCTGCCTTGCCCACTTCTGGCCTAAACATTATTCATTGTTATTTTGCCCCATTCTATCACCACTGTGTAACTTCTGACCCTTTTCCTGGAGGAAATGCAGTTTGGGAGGTAATATGCTAAGAGGCTCAGGATTGTAATGATGCAGCTGCTCTAACAGAATTCAAGCTTCACAGGGTTGTTGTGAAAAATAAATGGAGTACTACGTATGCTGCCCTTCGCTCCTAAAGGAAAGGTGGAACATACATCTAAAAAGGAATTAAATTAAAATCTGAATAGGACTAAAACAAATTCAGATATCAGGAAAGAGACACTGGAAACTTGAGGAGTAGCCTTGCCTTTTGCAGGTCAGATCCGCAAAATAAACAAAGACAATCTCAAACCACAGTATATAATTTATCCTGCCTATCAGTAGATCGCACCTTGGTGGCGCAGCAGACTAAAGCACTGTTAAGTAACACCAGCTGCTTGCAATTACTGCAAATTCAAATCTCACCAGGCCCAAGGTTGACTCAGCCTTCCATCCTTTCGAGGTAGGTAAAATGAGGACCCGGTTTGTGGGGGCAATAAACTGACTTTGTATAAAAAAAAACACCGCTGGGGCAGGGGCGAAAGCCCTACTAAGCAGGTATATACAAAAGTATGAAGGCTATTGCTTAATGCATTGTAAGTCGCCCTGAGTCTCCGGAAAAGGGCGGCATATAAATTGAATCAATCAATCAATCAATCAATCAATCAATCAATCAATCAATCAATACTCTTTTGTTCCTACATCCTGCCAAAATAGCAAACATTATAGAAAATAATGCAGAAATAGTTCTGAAACTCTTGATTGATATGGTAATGTTGTCACTTTAAGATCCTATCATTGCTTATGTACTTATATTCCACTTTGAATGTAGGCATCTTTACTTGGAATAGCTTATACCCAATGATGACACCTTTAACACTACCAAACAATAATATCTGCCTATTCCAGGTCCTTGGGAAGGACTCAATAGGTAGACAAAAATGCTAAATTCAGTCTAAATATCTGGCTGACTATACAACGAACCATAATGCATAGACTTCAATAGTCTTCAATTTACAGCAATTCATTTAGTGACTGTTCAAAGGTACAATAGTACTGAAAAAAGTGACTTATGGCCATTTTTTACATTTATGATCTTTGTAGCATCCCCATGCTCATATGATCAAAATTCAGATGCTTGGCTACTGGTTCATACTTATGACTGTTCCTGTGTCTTAAGGTCATGAGCTGAGGTGGCACAGTGATTAGAGTGCAGTACTGTAGCTACTTCTGCTGACTGCTAGTTCAGCAGATCAGCGGATCAAATCTCACCGGCTCAAGGTTGACTCAGCCTTCCATTTATTTATTTTAGCGATTTATATGCCGCCATTCTCCCGAAGGACTCAAGGCGGCTTACAACAACAATCAATAATACAAATCACAATTCCACAATTCCATCCTTCCAAGGACCCAGATTGTTGGGAGCAATATGCTATTTAGTATACTGTCTTTGGTGTAAGCCTCCCAGAGTCCTTGGAGAGTAGGCGGCATAGAAATATGACAAATAAATAAATAAATAAATAAATAAATAAATAAATAAATAAATAAATAGATAGATAGATAGATAGATAGATAGATAGATAGATAGATAAATAAATGTGATCACCTTTTGCAACTTTTGACAAGCAAAATCAATGGGAAAGCCAGATTCATTAACAACCGTATTGCTAACATAACAACTGCAGTGATTCACTTAACAACTGTGGCAAGAAAGGTCATAAAATGGGGCAAAATTTATTTAACAAATGTCTCACTTAACAATAGAAATTTTGGGCTCAATTATCATAAGTTGAGGTCTATCTGTAATATAAAAAATTAAGCAATTGTCTTGAAAGGGATCAATAGTTTCAAGAGGAGGAGAGTACCATAAATAAATCTCCATCAACTCATTTGTTTCAATCTAAAATAGATAGCAAATTGAAAGATGACCTTATGGCCGAAGTAGGATTACACAATTGAGAGCAGTTTATACAATTCTTATTGTTGCTATCTTATCTGATTTTTTTGTTTTCCATCAAACCCTTTATTAAATATAGGCTTCTATATTGTATTAAAGCTGTACATGTTGTATGGCTCTAATATGACATGATTTGTTCAGAAGTCCTCATAAAAGTAATTAAGACATTCAGAGTGGAAATAAGGTTTAGAAGGACAACTGTATTTTAAATATGAATTGTATAGAAAAGTTTTAAATCAATATAATCTCATACAGCAAAGTGGCATGGCATTTGTGCTAAACTCTTTCTCTTCAAACTCATGGAGACTGGAAATTAGATTAAGTAGGAAAAAGATAACAGGTAGATAGCGATTTAATAGTATAATCCTTATAAATATTATGTCCTGTATGTCTTCAGCTCTTTTAGTCCTTTTTTTGCATTTCCTCCATTACAGCAAGAAATAACACCTTAATAAATAACACAATAAGGGCTGAGTAGTTAAGTATGTTCCTGATTATTATTTGGATAAAAGATCAATCTGGAAATCAATGGAAAATTAAAAGAACATACCTGAAAGAAGACAATAGCAAATCATGTCCATATTGTTCCCAAGAAAATTAAATAGAGGAGAAATCAAGGTCACTTCAACATACAGTAACTTCTCTTATGGGCCAAATAATATAAAAGAACTGATTTGTTCCATTCCCATTCATTTCAGAATCCAAAGAATAATGTGCAAACATTGCTATCAGTATCCAGATTACAAGGCAGACAGCTACCATGCCATTTAAATATTGAAATTGTCTCCTAACAATACTATTAATGTGATGTTTGCAAGAACTTGGAATTTACTATGTATGTACTGGATCTAATGCATGCTCTTCTAGATTTCTTTTTTTTTAATAAAAAGAGTCAAACATAATGCTTGATTTTCCCAAGAAATTACTTAGCCTATAATTTTGCCATGACAACATATTGGGCACCCTGGAAAGCAAATATTATTTTAACAACTGGACAGCCTGAAGGCTGCTGTGTTGTCCTTTCCTCATCCTTAAAATGGAAGCAAGATTACAATGTCAAAAATTGCTGCAGTGAAATCTCAATTTTTTGAAGTTATCTAGCTGCATTGTGCATCTTTTCATTAGTAACCATATTTCAGAATCCTGGCTTTTGACTTTAACTAGTTCTGACTTTGCAGAAGTAGTCTGGAAGCTATGATTGCTGTCATAAAAAAACCTGGGTATTGAGCTGGAAATATTCCAGGGTAGGTATTCTTTTTATTACAAGAAGCAGAATTCAACTTCTGGAAAAGTATGACTAAGTGCCATGAGTTCATTTGTCATGGCAAGAGAAAACAATGCAGACAAATCCGGTTCTGTAAAGTTACCAGAACTATGTTTTGGTTTTTAATGCTCAAGTGCTGCAAACACAAACTTGTCTTATAACCAGAAAGGCTAGAAGAACAGGTGTATATATAAAGATTTAAAACTGATATTCTCAGAATGTTAGGTATGCATACACATTTGCATCAGGACAACCTTACAACAGCTACAGCTCTTTCCCCCTTCCATGTTACAGCTCATTACATAATTTCCAAATTAACTCATGCTTGCACTGAAGCTGCGTACCTTACCATTTTATACATGGTATCAGTCTCTTCATCCACCACTAGTAAGGTTGTGTTTTCACCAGATTGTTTGATTTTCTCTACCACAGCTTCATGGTCCAGTGCTTCAATTGGCTCTCCATTTACGGCGATCAAGATATCATTGTCCCTGAGACCTGCTTTAGCTGCAGGGCTGTCTGAATCGATGTCCTTAATCAAGTGACCTGCCTCCCCAAATAAAAAATATATATCAGAAAAGCCTAATATCCAGTGGTGGGATTCAAGTAATTTAACAACCGGTTCTCTGCCCTAATGACTTCTTCCAACAACCAGTTTGCCAAACTGTTCAAAAAGTTAACAACTGGTTCTCCCGAAGTGGTGCGAACTGGCTGAATCCCACCACTGCTAATATCATAGCAAAGTATAGGCCCATAGCAGGAGTGGGTTCTACTTACCTTTACTACTGGTTCGCAAAGGGGTCGCGTGCCCGTGCTTGCTTCTCTCGTGCGCATTCTGATGACATCGGGGTTGGTGGGTGGAGCCTCCCACAGGTTTTACTACTGGTTCTATAGAACCGGTGCGTACCGGGGGCAACCCACCACTGGCCCATAGCCAATGTTTAATTTTGTACTTTAGTTTTCAAACTCTAGTATTAAGGCAGGTACTAAGCTTGACCACGGCCCTTTCATTTTGATATATTCCCTCTGTTGTGGACATTCTAATAGAAGATTATGCATCAGAAAGCAGAGGCCAGACCAAGTCCATAAAACTGGAATGGGAGATTTTCCCTTCAACAATTGTTATGCAAGACTACAAAGGAGATAACTGGCTAAATGTGGAAGGAAATTGTGGAGTTCTTTAAATGCTATTTTTCCTATTAATTATTACATGGCTTGGGCTTGGGAATCTATTACACATCTGTTAAAGAAGTAAAGTCCATATTGCATAGTTATACTACCCTGTGACCCAATTCTTACCTTTGCCATTTTGCTCCATTCTCAGGTAAAATCCATAACCATTATTGTCTTTTTTGAGCTCAAGATTTCGGGGCTTGTGAGGTAATAATTTCAGATTGGCCTTTTCCCTTATCAGCTGCATATTCCATCTGTAGTAATACTGGTCAGTTTCTTTATCTGACAGTAGAAACACAACCCGATTCCCAGACTTTTTTACCTGAGGACACAGACATGGAGTTTATATTTTTGCCCTGTGTGCAGGCTGAAACAATCTCACCTATATACAACCAGTGCATAACAGTATCCTTTTTTTTTATTGAAAAGTTTTATAAGAAATACAAACATTTTCTCCCCCCCCACCCTTTCCCCCTCCCCTCCTTCCCCCCCACCCCCCTCCTTAGACTTCCCAGAACAGGCACAGGGTATAGCATTCACAAACATAAAGCTAAAATATGCTAACAAATTATTGCATTCATATTCTCCCTAAATCTTTAACTCCTTATAACTCAAAAACTATAAACATAAACTATTTAAAAATATTTCATTCATAAGCTATATGAATCTTCTTGTTCGGATACTTTTTTTGCATATAGTCAATCCATCTTCTCCATTCTGATAAGTATCTTTCATTTGAATGATCTTTAAGATATGATGAAATTTTTGCCATCTCTGCCAGATGCACAACTTTTAAAGTCCATTCCTCAATGGTAGGTGGATCTTCCTTCTTCCAGTACTGTGCCACCAGTAATCTGCCAGCTGTTATTAAATTCAGAACCAATTTAGTCTATTACAGTACAATCCGTGACTATTCCCAACAAAAAAAACTGTGGCGTAAATTTAATTTTTTTCCTTAAAATATTTTGAATAATCCACCATATTTTTATCCAAAAAGCCTTAATTTTTTTACATGTCCACCATATATGAAAATATGTAGCATCTTCACACTCACAGTATCCTTTTTTGATGGTATTTTCATTGATGAAGCTAAAATTGTTCTATACTATCATTATAAATCCCGCATTTCTGAAATTGATATTTACAGTATTTTCTTATTCTCATATTTATATATTTCAGGTGTGCACAGCATTTTAGCTATTTTGGAACTAACCACTTAATATATCAGGTAATACTATTAGTACTCAGAGTTATTATTCAACTTGGAAATAAATTTTTATAATGGAAAATACAAAGCACATAGGTAGATATGACTTGATCAAATTTGGAAGGATGAGACACTATTAGGAGGAGGTTGTATTTAACTTTAGGGATCATGTAATTGCTTAATATGAAAGAGTTAATTCAAACACATTTTTTTCCACTTATTGCGTGCAACTTTATTTTCCATCCGTGCATGCCAGTCTTTGTCTAAGGAGATCTACTTGCGCATGCTGTGGCAAGATGCAACTGGAGCAATAATTATCTATATTCTATCAAATTACCATTCTAATTTGATCTGAATTATTTATAAGAATTTGCTGACAAATAAGGTTAAGGCTTAAAGTACCTTCTCAACTACTTCTTCATGTGTATTGTTTTCCACATTCTCCCCGTTGATTTCTATAAGGCGATCATTTGGCTGCACTCCAGCTTTTACAGCTGCACCCAGTGGAGTCAAATCTACAATGAATAAACTTTTCTGTCCTGGAAATGAGAAACAAATGGGAAAAATAGAAATAAATATTTACTTGTTAATATGTTCATTTTACTCATGGTAAACACAGCATGGGTAACAGTGCATCTAGTCTAGTTCAAACAACACTAATATGGCAGCAGAAATGTGGCAATAATATTTATGCCCATTGAGTGCCTCAGAAATTGAAAAAAAAACTTATTATGCTGTAACCCAGTAATATTTTATGCTTTGTCAGATGCTTGGGGGGGGGGGGTGCAATTATAGTGGTGTAAGTGACTGATTAGGAGTAGTCAGTTACTTATTAACTACTACGACTTTTTCCAGTGTTTATTAGAACTTGATTTATTATTTTACACCTACTTTTAAGTATCAAATCTCTCTCCCTTTCTCTCTCTCCCTCTCTCCCTCCCTCCCAAAATACACTAGCTACTTCTGGCCAGGCCTGAAGAGAGGGGGGTTCAGCTGGTACATTGTTCTGGGGCCCATGGAGCTCATACGGGCCCATGAAGGGGAATTTTTAATTTTTTTTTACAAAACCAAATTTTTAATAAGAAAAACAATATTAGATATATACTTCATACTCTATACTTTGTGTGTATAGCAAAACTGCCCTGCATCCTTGTTTGATATAACCTTTATTAATCTGAAACTCAGTGAACAGTTATTTATGTAATTCATTGAATTTTGACCCTCATGCGTGGGTCTGTGCATGCGCAGGGGACGGGGCACATGTAGGGGGACCACACGTGTGGGGGCATGTGGGGGGCTGCGCATGCATGCACAGGGGACTGCATGCACATGCATGGGGGGGGCTGGGGGCAGGAGGGCCATATTAGTCTTGTTCCAGCACTTAATAATCCTCTGGTGGCCCTGCTTCTGGCATGCAAAATAAAACTACCTGAAGAAATATCTTGTTTACGATATATTTTCAAATGTGGATGTAAAGAATCATGTAATAATGTAGCATTCTGGTCATTTCTTTTGTTCACGTTGTCATAGAATGACTTCCTTACAGAGATTTAAAAATATAACAAAAGTCTGGATTCCTATATCAGAAGGCCATGGCAACATAGGCTGTGGATGATCTAAAGCAGCCTATTTATATAGCTGACAAAACCCAATCAAAATTTCTAGACTTTGCATTGCTCGTGTGATGACTGACTCCCAACTGTCTTGACAAAAAAGGCATTTTCTTGTTCCCTATGATTTAAACATCGATGCCATAGCAACAAAAGAATCATTAATGTGAGAAATTCTAACACTTAAAATAGGGGAAATTCTTATCTAAAAACTATTAAAAAATTTTTGTCATGATCTTTAACTGGTTGAAATGATGCATCATAGGGCAACAATTTTTCAACCAAGATACCTGAAATGGACTAATTAAAAGATTAATTAAAAATGTGTCCAAAATCTGGAACTCATTGTCCTGAGGCAATAAAATTTGGGTAAGCTGTGATAGCTAGCTGCTGCTGCAAGTGACCTGACCTTCATTTTCAACATTCTGTGACAATTTTTCAGCAAGTCTTGCAATCCCTTGTTCCTTCCCCATCCAGCAGTTGCCACTTACTTGCCTGCTAGAAAGGGAAGGGAGAAAGAAAGGAAAGAATGGGGAGAGAAGAAAGAAGGAGTGAGGGATGAAGAAAGAGAAGGAAGTTGAAAGTTGCTCCCATTCCAATGGTGGGTTGCCCCCAGTTCGCACCGGTTCTATAGGTAATAAAACCGGGGGGAGGCCCCACCCCGACGCCACCAAAATGCTTTTGCGCATGCGCAGAAGAGTGCACATGTGGCCCCGTTGCAAACCAGTAGTAAAAGTACGTAGAACCTACCCCTGTCCCATTCCCACTACATTTTGCTCACCTGAAGTAATTGTTTCTTTGCTTAGGTAAGAAAGTATCTCTGAAAAGATGACTCAATAGGGCATAGATTGCCAAGTAGAATATAAACAGAATTCTGCAACCTGTCACTTCCATATAATTGTGAATGCAGTTCCCTGAATTTATAGCCAGAATGACTGAGATGGCCATGCCAGAGTTATCTGCCTCATATCTCTAAAAATCACAGTTCTTTCAGTGGAAGAGCACCCAGACATTGAATCAAAAAACATTCAAATATTTTTCTTCTATATTTGAGTAATACATACAAATATGGTCTAATATATCCAGAAATTTGGCATTTATAGATGCTTTGACTCATTATTTCTACCATTTTAGGAGTGCTTCAGATTCATTCAAGGACTTATTTTAATTAATATAACAATTGACCATCATATTAATGTCCTTTAATAGATGGTTTAGAAATCTGGGCTTTAAATACACATTCAAAATTATGTCACGGTTATAGAAGGTATCTAAAAGGATTCCTACACAAGAGATTTACATGCTGTTTTTATTTATTGTCCTTACCTGCAGAAGACTTCAAAGAGAAACCATAGCTATTTTTTTCCTTAGTCAGATAACAGAGACGGGGTTGTGGAGCTGAATCCAATTCTTCAGTTTGCACAAGTTGAGGTTCTTCTGTCTGTTCTTGGTTTGGTGACTTTTTAGCCAACTCTTCAAGACTGATTCCTTCTTTTAATGCAGTTTCATAAGAATGGTCATCCAAAACAAGGAATAATATAGGAATTGCACTTTTTCTAATTAAATCAGCTACCTATAATTGATGCAATGAGAGACTAAGAGGTAACTAAAAGAAATAGTTAAATGGCATAGAACATGAATTAGAAAAATACATCCAAGAGAGGATAATTAGGTCACAGAGCTGTGTCATACAGCTGTTTCTTACAGAGAGGATTAAAAAGTCAGAATAGCTGTTGTGACTATGCAATCAAAATCCCACCTCTTTTTGATATGCATACAATTTGGCGTTATCTGCACACCTACCTTACCCTGAAGCTTATGACAGACACAAAAATAATGAAAAAGCAGAATTTTCATCAAGTTGATTGCTAAAATGGAGGAGGAAAATTACGACCCTAAGAATTTGTTGAAAATAGTAATCACTATTTTATAATACTACCAATATGATTTATTCTCTTGACAATTATACTTATGTGGCAGACGTTTGAGTAGTGATTTCATATCTGATGTTGTAAAAAATACGAAAGTTGAACTTTTCTGGTTTAGCTAAGATCAGCCATTACAGGCTCGTGTAAATGCTCCCAAATGGTGGCTCTCAGGACTTCACTTCATTCTCATCTTCTCTATTGTACAAGGATGAAAACGCCATGACATTAAATCAGCCACAAGTCTCTTCAAAGTGCTTAGAAGTTGGTTGTCGTTTAAGTTCCCCTATCATTACTGACTGGGCGGAAAGGTTAAGGGAAAGAAAAACTGAATTCTTTTGCTCATATGGAGAATGAAAACAACTATTCCCTGCTTTTCTCTGAAAGAAGGAAAGATTTTCTTTGCAGAAGCTTTTTTTTGGCTTTGCATGGTTTGGATGCTGGCAGAAGATTTTGGAAGTATTCATATTTGGAAGAAGAAAATATTTTGAATAAATGCATACAAGGATCAAATTGGTGAAGTGCATGAAAATATGTGCTTTGCATTAGAAAAAAACCCAAAATAAAATATCTCCCACCTTTCCATGATCTTCCTTATCTATAAACACTCCATTAATCTTCAGAATTCTATCTCCATCTTTTAGTCCTGCCTTCTCGGCTGGACTATCCTTTTCTACATTTCGGATAAGATGCCCTGTTTTGAATTTCTCAATGCGCAGGCAGAATCCATAGTTTTCACTCTCTTCTTTGACCAGTGTGCATTCTCTGGGATAAAGTGACATCATTTCTGTCAAAAGAAGTATATAAAAAACATGCATGTGAAGAAAGAAAGACTTTATTGAAGTAAATTGCTCAGATAAAATGAATCAAGTGAGCCACTCATAAAAGGGAATGAGAGGGAGAAAAGAAAGCATTTTGACATGGGAAAAATGTACAAGTACTGCTGATGGGGTCATCTCATATAATGAATTTATCATAACGTCTTACAGATGTTTTCTTAGAAGAAAATTTGAATGTGTTCAATATAATTTGGCACGGGCCCGGGGTACTTGCAGGACCACCTCCAACCGGCCTCCGACCGCCCACTGTGGTCACATAGGGCTGCCCTCCTCCGGGTGCCATCGGCCAGACAATGTCGGCTGGTGGCTCCCAGTTTGAGGGCGTTCTCGGTGGCCGCGCTGACCCTCTGGAATGAATTACCCACCGAGCTCCAGACAGCCCCTGATCTCCGTTCCTTCCGCAAAGATCTTAAGACCTGGCTTTTTAATCAAATCACCTGATCTGGTTGGGTTTTTTAGTTAACTGTGGAATTTTAAATTGGATTTTTAATGCTATTTAGTGATATTGTTTTTATTGTCATTTTGTACTTGTGAGCTGCCCCGAGTCCTTCGGGAGAAGGGCGGCATATAAATTTTAATAAAATAAAATAAATAAAAAAATAATTTAAACCTAATATTTTGCCTTTATTGCAGTACATAGCCTGTATTTGTCAGCTCTTCAAAGTAGGTCGGCTCAGACTTATTGTCTATATTGTCTCAGGGTGCAATACTTGAATTTATTTCTACACACACACACACACACACACACACACACACACACATTAAGGCAGGGCAATCTTGAATTTCCTTCTGATATCATAATGGCTGGCACATACCTTCTTCTAAATTATATCTGTACTGTATTTCACAATATTTTACAATAATATATTGGCTGCTCTCATGAGGCTAAACTGGGTTGAACCTGATTAGTAGTCGAAAGAGAAACAAACTGGAAATGCCAGGACTATAAACCAGATTGGGAAATGGAAAATGGAAAACAATCCAGAACAGGATCCAATTTGGGTTGGTCACCAGGACCAGAGGTTTAGCCTTTCATGTTTTCAGACTTACGCTGGAGCCCATCCTCAGGGAACTTCTCTCTAGCAGAGTTTGTGCTTGGGGCTATTCTGTGTGTGGTATTATATGGTTCCTGGTTGTATGTGGCTTTTTAGTTGTTGATTGGGATGTTGATGGAACCCCAAAGCCCAACTATTAGGTCATTGCTGTTGTTTTCTTGTGCTGCCAACAATCCAGAGTAGACAGCAGTGGAAAATAATTGCTGTATTGTTGCAGAGAAAGCTATGACGTTTGCCCATGAAATTACTAGGAATCAAACTTGGCTCAAAGGAAACTTTAATATGAAAATATAGATAATCAATTCAATGTCTGTCTTAAGTCTACTCTTAGATAAGGGGATGAAAGTAGTAAGATGAAGATAACATTCTTAGTAAGATGAACTACTTAGATATTATGCAGTGAACTGAACTGAGAAATGCTGAAGTGGAGTCTTTTCTAGGTAGGTTGAAATTATAGTTCTTAGTTTCTAAGTCAACATTTTTTAGGAAGCAGGAAGGCATAAGTTATTATACATCCCATTAGCTCATATATTGTTATTCATGACTTCTGGAGAGCAAGGCATATTACTAACTTTATACCTCAGGATTTCTTCAACTTCACTTAAGATAGCCATGTGAATTCTCTACAGAGAATTGAGTGGAACAGGTTTTTTTTATTTATGTTATTATTTTTCTGAAGTCAAGGCAAAGCCAAAGTGATTCTCTTAAACCCTTTTTGCTTATTTTTAAAGTACAGTGTGAAGTGAAAGATCAAATACAGCACCTTTCAAGAGCAACAGAAAGCTTAATGTGTTGCTGACAATATTTGTCTACACCATTTTCTTCTAAAACTCTATTGCTAGTAATCCTATTGCTAATTTAGTGTTTTGCAATAATATGTACTTTGCTCGCTCTTCCTTTGCTCCGGATGCACGATAATCTTGTTGACTTAGTTAATATATTGAGAATTATGGTTAATATGTGGAAGATTTTTCTTAGGTCAAGAGGTGAGGTTAACAAGAATCAGAATATTAGACTATTAAGAATTAGAATGTTTTATTTGTTGAACTGTTTTACCGAATGACTTTTGGCCACAGATAAATTGAACTGAATTGACTAGGTGGCATTCAGACTTTCTTCACTATTGTTCTTTCCATTTGAACAATGACTAAGATAGCTGATGCTTTTAGTCCCCTTAAAAGATTGTTAAATAACATAAATTGACTCCTTTATAAAAGCCTGCCCACTCATCCTAGACTCCTAAAAGATCTCTAGACTTCTTGGGGCATTTTCTATCAAACCCTGAAACATTATGCTGAATATGTATACAGGTAGGAGTAGAATTTCTTCTAAAGACCTACCCTCTAAATATGTTCACTATTATCTCACTGGTGACTTTTGGACAATCACTATCAGTTTTTTTCAAGCTGTGCAACAGGTTTGCTGTTATGATTATAAAATGAGGCGAGATTCATAACTGTGTTTCCTTGAATTCATAAAGGCAGAATAAGAAAGAATGAATATATGACTCATGAAAGACCTCTGTGCAGGGAGGCATAATCCTATTCTGTACATAGATATACTCAATGGTCTTCCAAATCTGAGCATTAGAGCCAACAAGCATCACCCATCTCTCCAATCTTCATACATTAAAAGCATATTTGGTAAATATTGACAATAATTTAATTTTATGCAAGACTATATTTAATATTTTGAGGGGAAAAATTACTTTCAGCTTCCTTTCCCTTCCTGTCCTTCCCCCTCAGATTTGGAAAAAAAAGGCAACAAGAATCTTACCTGCATATATAGTGCACAGTCTTCAGAATGATCTCCAGTATCTCATGCTCTGAACTGCAAGCACAGTTGCACTTTGAATGAACAAAGGTTGAATTAAAAGATGATTTATTTAACAGGGCTTCACTGCACACATTCCTTGATAACCAGTTTTTCATTACTTTTAGCTAAGCAGTACTGACCTCTTCTTGGCAACTTGGATCCCTCCTTAATAGTTCAGAGATCATTACAAATATTTTCATTCTTACATGGATTTCTGCTGAGAAATACCTGACAGTCAGCCCTCCAGCTAGATGATAGAGAGATAGAGATAGATGGATAGATAGAGAGATAGAGAGATAGAGAGATAGAGAGAGATAAGGGTAGATGCAGAACTTCTGTTAGATCTGAGTAAAAAAATGAAAAGCATCTTAAAGAAATACGATAAAAATTTAACACCAACACAAAATACTCATCATTCTGAGTCTTTGGCCTGCTCATCAAATACCTTTCCCACATATTTATGATGATCCAAGCTATAATACGTCAATCTTGTCTTCTTGTCATAACTTGTAAGTTTGAAATAGAGTATGTCCAAAGGAGAATCTACAAAATTAAGGTGATAGGGTTAGATAGAAAAAATGGAAAGATAAATAGATATATCCTTAACTTTGAATATTTAAATATTATGATTTGGAACAAGCACACATGTGCGTGCACACACAAATGGTTTCATTATTGAAAAAATTGAATTTTCAAAGATGAGATCCATATAAATTTAGAAAAGCAATTATTGTTTAATTAGCACTTCCAGTAACATTTTAAAATACTCATTTTAAATGTTTACTCATTATTAAAAAAGCTATTCTGTACCTTGCAAGTCCAAGGCACCCTTCAAATGTCTCAGCTGGAAAGCTTCCATTCAGCTTCAAGACCATATTGCTGCCAGATAAATCTACATCTTCCCTCACTCACTTCACTTGCTTTCAACCAAACCATTGACTTAATTCTCATGAAGTACCTGTCAATATTTAAGGCTTACGCCAGTGGTGAGTTACCCCCAGTTCAGACTGGTTCTATAGAACTGGTAGTAAAACCGGCAGGAGGCTCCACCCACTGACCCTGATGTCATTAGAAATGATCTGTGCACGCGCAGAAGCTTCTGCACATGTGCAGAAGCAAGGCGTGCGTGCAAGCAAAGTGTGTGCAGGCGTGCGTGCAAGTGCATGCAATCCCATTGCAAACTGGTAGTAAAGGTAAATAGAACCCACCCCTGGCTTATGCAGTCCAGATTCAAGAGCCTTGGTAGTACAGTGGTCTAAGGCATCCTGTTATTAAGCTGGTTATTAAGACCAGCTGCCTGCAATTACTGCAGGTTCGAATCTCGCCAAGGCTCAAGGTTGACTCAGCCTTCCATTCTTTCTAAAGTAGGTAAATTGAGGACCCAGTTGTGGGGGCAATAAACTGACTTTGTATAAATATACAAAAGGATGAAGGCTATTGCTGAGCACATTGTAAGCCGCCCTGAGTCTCCGAAGAAGGGCGGCATATAAATCAAATAAAAAAACAAAACAAAAACCAGAAATCAATAGGATAACCTATCCACAAAGAACTCTGTGAAATAAAAGTCTTGGAATGAATTGCTAATCACATAATAATTAGATTAACATACAGTTAGGTCACCATTTTCCTGTCTTCCCCCATACCCTTCTTTTCTTTCCTTCTTTCCTTGAGTGCAAATGAAAACTGCAAGAGAGAACTTCTATAGTTTCTGAGATTCTACACTTTCTCAGATCTCCCTTTGTCCCACAGAAGAAACAAATTCTACAGGTTTTTTTTTCCAGATAATTGGCAACTCTCCCTTCAAATACTTTATTCCCTTGATATTAACAGAGAATTTTTAATCCCTTACCAATTTAAATGGATATAAACCAATATAAATTTGCATTGTGACTAGATTCTGCTTCATCTGGGCAGGAGCATTACCTTCATGAAAATACCAATCAGATTGCTTCCTTGCTTTTTTTGTCAGTTCAAGGATTGCTCTTGAGGCCTGGCAGAATTCCTAATTTTAGTCTTAGATATCAGAGAAGAAATGCAAAATGTCAGGCAAAGACTTCTGCTTTAAATGTTTTCAGTATCAGAAACATTGCTGATGCAGAATACCATCACCACCACTACTATTAGGAGTGCCTTTGCCATGAATTCTATTTTTTTTTTTTTTGGACAGACAATATTATTATTATGATTAAATTTCACAGAATGCTTTGAGTAAAAAAAGGTTAGTGGCATGGACTACACTGAAACTTGCACTGGGCTGCCTTATGTAGCTAAGAATAAGTCTAAGCCATGTCTGTATCTGTGTCTGTGTCTCCGTCTCTCTCTGTCTCTCTGTCTCCATCTCCATCTTTCTATCTCTCTGTCTCTCTGTCTCTCTCTGTCTCTGTCTCTGTCTCTGTCTCTCTCTCTCTCTCTGTCTCTCTCTGTCTCTCTCTCTCTCTCTCTCTCTCTCTTTTGAATAGAAGATAAAAATGAACCAGAATTAATATAAAGAGAAAAAAGGAAGAAAAAAAAAAGACAAAAAATGCAAAAAAAATAAAATTAAAAATAAAATAAAATAAAAAGAAGTAATTTCTGGTTTTCTTTGCAGCAAATATAAGTGTAAAAATTGTACCTTTACAGAGAGGATACTTGAGAAGAGGGTGTGGCTCACTGATGACGCCTTATAAGCAGAAACAGCTATTTGAGTCTCCCAAATTGCAGCACAGAGTTGTTGCTTTTCAGCAAGATACAAAAAGCCCAGAAACTTGTGAATGAGATTTCACAGAACTAGGGCTGAAGAACAACTTAGCTTACATAGGTGGAACCTGGCTAGAAAGAATATGCACATAAAAGCCTATGAAAAAAGAAAAAGAAACATTGTACCTTTACAGGGAGGATACTTGAGAAGAGGGTGTGGCTCACTGATGACGCCTTATAAGGCAGAAATAGCTATTTGAGTCTCCCAAATTGCAGTACAGGAGTTGTTGCTTTTCAGCAAGATACAAAAAGCCCAGAAACTTGTGAACACAGTTTGGTTCCCTTTTTTTGGCTTTAGAGGTCCACACCAGAAGTGCAAAAAAAAAAAAAAAAGCCATGGCAACAGACCATCTGTTTTCACATCATGAGTCAAATTTTTTATTTCTTCTTCTTAAATTATGATATAATTATGATGGGATAGAATTAAGTTTAAGCTTTTGATGATGAGCACTATTTAAATTAGTTGATTATAATGCAACATTAATTCACATTAATCTTAAAATGACTTAGTTATGACTGCAATGTCTGAATGGAGTCCATTGAATAAGTTGTTTCTATATAAAAACATAAAATAGATTTCATAAGTTATAGATCATTCTTCTAAATTTAATGATATGTGTAACATGTTATTTTATTAATGATTTAGGGTTATTCACTTGGTAAGTCCCCATACTGTAGAAGAACCTTTCTCCTCTCTTATATGTATATTAAGCAGCTGAAAACGGAAACATTGTCATTGATGGGGACTGAATCTTGAAATTCAGACACAATAAGGCCATCAATTATTAGTTGTTAGGATCTAACAGTGAGGAATACCTAGGAATTGAACACCTTGTTTGCAAGCCTAGAAGTATCTAGTTGACCAATGTGGGAAAATGATTCTGGATTGGACAAGACCTAATTGTGACTGGGGAACTTTTACATTCTTCTCTTTCCATTTTCTATAATAGACAATGTGTTTCTGTTTTGTACAAACTAACCCACAAAACAAACAATGTATTGCTTGCTTATTCCAGTGCAGATCTTGTTATCTTCCATTTGTAAGCTTTCCAAGTTTGCCCATCTCCTTTTTCATTTTATCACACTACTTAAGGTAGGAAAGAGTAAAAGATCACAAAATGACTTTTCATGTGATTTTAAAATTGCTTCTATCTTACAAACTTTCTCTCTCTCTCTCTCCTGAGGTCTCTCAATTACAACTGATTTTTATCCAATTAAAAATAGAAGGCTATTGATTGACTGATTCATTTCTAATGCAAATATTGCGGTTCTGTTATCAGCAAAACTAAATACGCGAGGTTGAATATATGAAACTATACCTAACTATGAGACTAGAAATGAGCCACTCTTTGTTCCTGAAAAAGGAAGCTAATCTTTAAGGTTTATAAACTGAAAAAATGTCAGTATCCAGGGCTGAAATCCAGCAGGTTCTGACAGGTTCTGGAGAACCGGTAGCAGAAATTTTGAGCAGTTCGGAGAACCGGTAGTGGAAATTTTGAGCAGTTCAGAGAACTGGCAAATACCACCTCTGGTTGGCCCCAGAATGGCAATTTTGCAATATCCTTCCTCCATGAGTGGGGAAGGAATGGATATTTTGCAGTATCTTTCCCTGGAGTGGGGTGGGAATGGAGATTTTGCAGTATCCTTCCCCTGCCACGCCCACCAAGCCAGGCCCACCAAGCCACACCATACACACCATGCCACGCCCACCACACCATGCTCATCAAGCCATACCACGCCCACCAAGTCACACCCACACCCATCCAAAAATTTGGATTTCACCACTGTCAGGATCCAATCTGAGTCGGTCACCAGGACCAGATATTTTGTCTTTTGAGATTTCCAAGTTGTGCTGGAGCCCAGCCCACACTGAAACTATATGCTAGCATTGTCTGCTCCACCTCTGAGATATCAGTTTTTCAAATAACCCTTAAAAATTATCTATAATTTATTTTTATTTATTTATTTTATTTTATTTTATTTTTGAATTTGTATACCGCCCTTCTCCCTGAGGACTCAGGGCGGTGAACAGCCAAATAAAAACATCAAATACAAATATTAAAACACGTTTAAAAATATATATAGATTTGGCCCCATTAATTAAAACGATAAACAAAACAAAACAATTAAAAAACCCTTAAAAAGAAATTAAGCCAGCCCGGCTTGTTGAAAAAAGAAAGTTTTAAGGGCACGGCGGAAGGCACTGAGGTCATGGATTCTCCTTATCTCAGGGGGCAACTGATTCCAGAGGGTGGGTGCCCCCACAGAGAAGGCCCTCCCCCTGGGGGTCACCAGCCGGCATTGTTTGGCTGATAGCACCCCGAGGAGGCCCTCTCTGTGGGAGCGCACGGGTCGGTGGGAGGTCGTCGGTGGCAGTAGGCGGTCTCGAAGATAGCTAGGCCCTATGCCATGGAGCGCTTTAAAGGTGATAACCAACACCTTGAAGCGCACCCGGAAGACCACTGGGAGCCAGTGCGGTTCACGCAGGAGCGGTGTTACATGGGAGCGCCACGCTGCTCCCGTCACTACCCGCGCTGCTGCGTTCTGGACCAGTTGGAGCCTCCGGGTGCTCTTCAAGGGGAG